TATATATAATATTGTTTGTTTTGTTGTGACAAAATCAATAAGTTGTTTCTATGTGGATTTGCCTCTATATATGAATATGCAACAACAATTAATATCTGAATTAAATTATTCCTTACCCTAGCTAGGAGTTTGACTTACAACTGACAAACCCTATATGCAGATTTCACTGCTTGTTGCACTAATATTTTTTTCTTTTCTACTTTTTTACTTAATTGTTTTTTAGACTTTTTAATTAAAAGATGCTTAATTGCTTTGAGTTAATGAATTGAGGACTGTTCACAGGTCTCCCTTTGGATTAAATTTCATACATGTTTGCTTTTATTATGCAGTTGGCATGACAAATCAATGCTTTTCGAACAATATCACTCGCAGAAATCGATATATATCATGTATAGACAAGCACTAGTACTTTTTCTAATGTTGAATCTTAACGAGATCGATGTTTTCGAAATAATGACTGCTTTTTCTATTCGATCAAAATACGCAAGATATTCCAGAAAACAAAGACGAGAATCGAAGTACACACGTACATTGTTCTTGAATCTATAATATCCTCCACGCATATAATTTTTCATTAGAGAAATATAATTTCCCTAAATGAAAAAGAAGAAAAAATAATTCGAAGATTTTTGCAATTTTAGCCTACCAAGATCTTGACCTGCAAAATCCTCAGCAACTCCTCGGGCAGACATGGCACGGCAAGAGCACCGCCTTGTTGGAACCCGTATTCTTCTTCGGCCATTTTCAACAACCTCAAAAACCCGGGATTTTTCAACACACAAAGCTCCAGAACAAACCTAATCGGCTCGTCTTTATCGTTCTTCGTCACTATAGCAAAATGCCCTTCCTTCAGATTAAACGGCACCGTTCCTTCTACTTCTTCGCATTCGAACCCCATGTGCAGTATATCCATCTTTCTCGATAGATGAAGATGATTTTGCATCTTCTTGATTAGTTGTTTCAGCACCGTGAATCCGTTTCTCCTCTCTACTGCCATTCTTTTCTTCTTCTTCTTTTTTTTTTTTTTTAATAATAAAAAAAAAAAAAAATTATTTTTGTGTTTTGTAAATGAGGGTTTGAATTTTTGTTTGTAGTGAAGAAAATGGTTCTGAGTTGTTCTATTTATAGTAGATGATTGGGGGTATAAGAGAGAAGTTTCGTGGAATGGTGAGTATATTTTGAGTTCTTGGAGAGTTGGCATAATCATTAAACAGCTTATAATTCCAGCATTAAATGGGGTTATTTTTTTCCATTTTGTTTCTTCATCCGTCGCATTTGAACGCGTATTATTATTGTCATTTTAGGGCTCGTTCGGTTACTTATATAAGATTATTTAGTTACTATAAGAGGTACTCGATCTTGTATTACATATGTTAAATTCCGGTATTATGTATCATTGTATGTCATATGTTTCTATTTAATAAAATTAACATGTAGTTTCAATGATAAAATAGTATTTTTTTTTAGTTACCCTCTATTAAATTCATCTATGGGGAATGAGTGCTACTAGTTTAATAAATAGTAGTATTTAATAGCGAACTTTGATTTTAGCAGTAAATTTGAAAAAATGTGAATTTTACCAACCGAACATGTTACTAATCCATAATATTTAGTCAGTAAAAAAATGCCATGAGGTTGAATAAAATGTTGAATAAAATGTTGAAGTTAATTAGTTGTGTTAGTAAAAGTTACTGCTGGACATTGATTGTTAATGTTTTTTTTCTTTTTGGTTCATGATCATTTTTTTTACAATGTTAAGTTTTGTTTCTACTTTATTAAAATTTAAAAATAAAGTAATTATAAGTCGTAATTATCGAAAAAATAATATTTCAAAATATTAATCCAATTTACAAGAATATCTATATATAGGCTAAATGAAAAAAATGCATTAGGTTTTCACCCTTATTATCTTTATAACAACTTTTACTTATCAAGACAATTTAGATATTTTATCAAAATGACCTAAAAATTTGGTTTGTTGAATAATTCGTTGTTTGGAAATATCTTAGACAATAACAGCTTTAATGTCGGCTTTCTATGTATGTTGTTTGGAAATAATATCTTTCAACTTATAGAAGTATTTCCTAATAACTTTCACTTCTACACGTTAACGAATAAACAAACATCCAATCATATAGATTTACCGAGTAAACATTTACTATCGCGCAATATCTCGAAAACATACAAGATAAGAGATTTAACACATTAAACACAAGTCATGCATTACAAAGTCGAGCTAAAAAAGCGGCAACAGATTTTCGAACTTTGGTTATTCAAGCGTTTTCTCTTACTCCATCAATTAGTCGTGCAAATACTTATATGTTTTCTTATTAAATAAAAAAAAACATTTAAAAAAAAGCATACTAAAACTAAGCATTGTTAGATGACAGTTAAGGTATTTGTTTTTAATTTAATTTATCCACGTGTTTTTTAATGCTGTTTGAATATTTTTGTGAATAATAGAATATTAAGGTCCACAAGAGACTGACTTGACTTGGGCTGTCTATTATGTAGTCACTATTCACTACGATCTGTTTTTTTTCTGTCTTATGATATTTTTCTATTAAAATATCTTTCTTTTTTTTTTAATTTTTTTTTTCTAATTAAAAAAGTTGTAAAATTGATGGGTTTTTTGTTTTTTTAATATTCAATATATAAGTTAAAAATTGTCGGGTTCCCTTTTGAGAATGAAAAAGTTGATAAATATATATTGCATATATTTATACTAGCTTTTCTTATATTATATATAAGTTGATTAAGAAAAAAACAAAATAGAAAATAGATGCTATCTTGAACTTATTACAACGTTAGAAACATACTATACTCGGAGGTTTGCCAACAAATTGAACCTCTGTCGGCAACACAACTCCAGTGAATTATGTTTATGAATCCAATAAATTAAAAAAAAAAAAAAAAAAAAGTTACTGCTATTTATACTCATGTTTATATAATCCAATAAATGTATAAATATTTTATACATTTGACTATTTGAGAATTGGAATAGTGATCACAGCTTCATAATTCGTTGGATAAAAAATGTTTATATTTGGTCCAGATAACAATACAAAATTGTTTCCTAATATATTTTGACATATCAATATAATGAGCTTATTGCAAATACCACCCCTGTGTAATCTCTAATTGTCAAAAACCACCCTGTAATAAAAAAACTCACTAACTCCCCCCTGTGTTAACGTTTTCGAAGCACACCGCACCCTTTTTTATTTTAGGCTTTGACTAACTGTGAATAGACAAAGATACCCTTAGGGTTTTTTTACCAATTAGTAAAGTATAATACCTAAATTTTAGAATCACTTTAATTTTATAAATATTATGTATTTATTTTTAATTCTTAAAAAATAAAATTAAAATTAAAATTAAACAAAAAATTAAATATATATTGTAATATTAAAAGTTCTTATATGCTTTTTTTAATAGTATTTTTATATGCTTTGTAATTGTTTGTTACATTTTATATTAAATAACAATAATTATTAAAAAAGAAAAACAAAAAAGATAAAAGATAAAAGATAAAAGAAAAAAATAAAATATTTAAACAAATATCTTTATTAAATACAGTAAATATATGTTGATAATTAAAAAAATACAAAATAAAACATATCTTAAATATAATAATAATTATATAAAATAAAATAAAAAGTCTTCATTTTCTTCCCCTGCCACCATCCTCGTTTTCCTCCAACCCCCACCCCCCTTCCTCCATCCCCGCCTCCACACCCCCCCTCCTCCTCCCCATCCAACTCACAACTCAATTCAACCCAACACCATTACATCTTCAGATTTTCTTCCGCTTGAGGCATGCTGCGGCGGAGGTGTGCGGCTCGTGGTCGGTGAGATCGAACGGAGAAAATGGAGGCCCAGAAAATGAGTTTTCTTCATCTTCGTGCGGCGGCGGCGGTAGTGGCGGTCATCCTTGGAAGCAGAGGTTTCTTCGAATTTTTCGGGCCACGATTGATCAAAATCCGCAGAGAATTGAAGATGGCCATGTCTGACAGGAGAGGCTTCTGGAGGAAGATGAAGAAGGATGAAGAACGAAGACGGGAAAGAGAAAAAAAAAAGAAAAAAAAGAAAAGAAAAGAGAGAGAGAAGGGGAACGTGGGGGCATTTCTGAGAATTCACATTTGAAAATGGAGCAAAAATCGCACAAACAGCGCGTGACCGACACGATTTGTTCTTAGGGGGCTAGATGCTTTGACTTTGTTTACACAGGGAGGCATGGGTGAGTTTTTTTTTCATAGGGGGGTATTTGCCAATTCGAGATTTCACAGGGGTGGTATTTGCAATTACCTCTCAATATAATTTTCGTTAATACTGAAAATTCTGATAGAGCATTATATCGTTAACAATGTATTTAGTCTGTACCGAAAACGAAAACTTTGGTAACTATTTTATTTGCGACCAAAACTACCACTACAAGAAAAAGTCCTTTTAACAATATGCGAAGCACGTCGTCAAACTATTTCGACAACATTCGGGCGCACGTGGTTGACCAACATGTTGTTAAAAGTGACCAAATAATAACAACGTGCAAAGTACGTGGTAACCGGCGTTGTCGTTTATATTACAACAACATACATCGTATGTTGCGCTATAGCATTCACAAGATTCATATACATGTTGTGGCTGGTTTTACCACCACAGACCAGTGCATCTTGCAATAGAATTTTAACAACATTTATATGCATGTTGTAATTTTTACTTACTTTCACAAAAAAAAATTTACTGTATATAAATACATCAATATTTTCCATTTTCAAATAATTTACTGGAAATACAATAATTGAATAACAATTATCCATAAAAAAATATCATTTCATTAAAATAATTATTCGTTACAATAAAGTATCTATCATTCTCAAAAGTGATAAACTCATCTACATCACTGTTAGCCTTCCACAAACGAAACAAAAAATGATCAAAAAACAAGAAAACCCAATGTAAATTTTGTTTGATTAAGCAAAATAAAATGGAGCTCTTGTATAGGACATTGATGCTTATAACCTCTCTAGCTACCACATGGCATCGATACCAACATCTCTGTCAAGAAGAAAGAGCTTAGGTTATTTTATTAAAATAAGGTTGAATTCACAAACAAATACGAGAGAGAGAGAGAGAGTTCTTATCTTGTTTCGCTACGTAGCTGCAACACTTAGACTATAAGCAATCATGTAAGGGATAGTTTATGTGTAAGAGAAAAAGTTTATATACTATATATTAATACTTACCACATTGCTATAACTGAAGTTAATTTCCGAGTCCGGCATCAATCCTGCTACCAAAACAAGAATCTCGAAAGTATTCTAGACTTATTAAAGTACAAACCTGTCGATTATGAGAAAAGAAAAGCTACTAAAATGAGCATATAAACAATAGTGAAAGCAAGTCCGATAAAAAACATTTGATGCCAACCTCACTACCATGAATAAACAAATTCTTACCAAAATTTGTTAATTTGCTAGTTTATGTTTGCCCAAGTCATCAGATCTCAAGCGAATGATTACATGGACATTCCTGGAAAAAAAAAGATCTTTCTCTTTTGTTAGTCACCATAAAGTAGAAAAAATGGTTCAGGGAATCTTATTTGTATAACAACACATGTTCTTCTTCGATATATAAAAGGAACTTGAAGAAAAATTCAAACTGCAAAAGGTTACTCACAGTACTTTATATCCTACAAACCCATCAAACTACCAATATAATATTCATCTAGAAATCCCTACAACAACCAGTTCTGATTTCTAGACCAATACTTCTTCTATTTGCAATTCAGCCATTACCTTTCATTACAAAAGACAATAACTTAATATAATATATACCTACATAGATTGATAGAGGTGATCACAGTTTAAGCAAAAAAATTCTGCATATATAAAATCAATTTGGGGTGCACCAGCAAAAACGAGAGCAAAAACGAGAGACATAGAGAGACCTTACATAGAGAAATCGAATCGAATAATTCGTTGTTTGATGGTCGTCTCCTGTCTTCGTGTGCGGTGGAGGTTTATCTGGTCGTAATATATATTCACAATTATTTTACTCATAAACTACTAGCAGTAGATTCCTCAAAAAGAAAAAAAAACTACTAGCTAACATATTATATTATATATCAATACAATGTAACATTAATTAATTTAAATTTTTTTTTAAATGTGTGCTCTTAAAAGTTAGAACTTATAACAAGACATGGTAACATAAATAATAATACCGACAATTCTTAAACTGGTTGTTCATTCGACAAAATTTGAATAAATTTACAACATGCAAGTGCATCTTGTAGTATATAGTAAATAATGACAAGAAACAACACATCTTGTTATATTGGTTGAACATTGAATAATTTTACAATGTGCTAATGCACCTTGTAGTAGGTTAGTTTAACAACATGCAACCTAAGAGTGTTGTAAAATACATTGAGTTGTCGCTAATAACAACATGCATTAAAAGCATGTTGTAGAATATATAATATTACAACATACTTTTCATGCACGTTGTCAATTATATGTTGTTGAAAGTCATTTTTCTTGTAGTGTACACCGGTTATTAGATGTTACACCCAGTAGTTATTTATATTTGATGGACTTCAATTGTAAACTCATAATCTCACACACAACCATGTGTAGCGTCTAACTGCCAAACAATAATAATAATAATAAACTTGTCCCAAAACGAGGGTTTTATAGATGCTACACATAATGATACAGACTTATATGTATTTATACTTAATGTGTAATTATCTGTATAGATTAATGGTGTAGAATCCAGATATTTTTTTCCGGGACGTAGCATTTCATAGACCATACGAGAACGAATATCGTAAAAGCGGCCACGTATGCATGGGTTTCCCAAAACCACTTAAATACCTAAGTTGGCCCGGAAAGTACGGAAAAAACAGTACGGGACTGTTCAAACACCGACCCGGTTCATTCTGAGTGGTCGTTACTCCAGTTGGCCCCTCAAAGTGCCTACTCAGGTGACATCAACAAATATGTGAATTAACTACTAAATCTTTTATATTTATATTTTATTATTTGATGAATACTATTTGCTAAATTGTCAAACGGCCCAATTCGACAAAACCATCTTTATAGAGGGCCCGTTCTGTATTGGGCTAATATGTTTAATCCCGGCCCAATGGCATTCATGTAAATAATTGGTATTTTTATTTTTTACTTTTAATTTCTAGGTTAAATTACAACCACCCCTGAGGTATGGTCAAATTACGAAAATTCCCCTCTTCTTACACCTCCGTCCTTATAGTGTCAAATTCAACATAATCATCTAGATTTCGTGGAATGTGCTATAGTTTGTACTCGTTTTGTGTAAAAATACAGTTTCTAATGCACCACAATTTGATACATACAAATGATCATCTTGCTTCAAATTATGGAGCTTGAATGAGATAAAACGGGTACAAATTAAAAGTGATAATATTCCATAAAATCTAGAAGTTTCCACTAAATTTGAAACCGCAAGGGTGAACGTCTAAGAAAATTTATAGTAGAGGGGTGGTCGTAATTACCCAAACATGAGCAGAATTTTCGTAGTTTGACTATCTACGTTAAGTCAATATGCACTACATTTATCACACTACTAGAAAATTGCTATTTAGTGACGGACAGATTCGTTGCAACATAGACCAAATTCGTCGCTAATGATAATTTAGCGACAGATGAAGCCCGTAACTAAATCCGTAGATAAACGCCGCGTCGCTAATTTTAGCTACGCCGGCATATAATCCGTCGCAAAGTTTAGCAACGGAGACATCCGTCGTACTGTCCGTTGCAACAATTGCGATTTGTTTGACAAACATTTCGTCACAATATCCGTCGCTAGGATTGTAGCAAAAATTCCATCACCAAATCTGTTGCTAATTATGTATAGGGATATCCGTTGCAAAATTCATCGCAAAATTTGTAATAATTTGATAAAAAATATTAAATATACAAATCCCACATTCTAATACTATTTTCAGTATATTATATAGCAACAATTGAATCCACAAAACAAACACCACACTTTTCCAATTAACATAAATAAAATTAAAAACAGAAAATAAAAATAAAAAATTACCATTGATAGAATCAATAATTACAATATCCATAACTTACAAAATTGCATTTTTGATAAATTTAATTTTGTCCAACATCAGTAATAAAAAACCATCCAAACAATTTCATAATTGTAGCAGAATAATGTTGCTTCACCAGTTTTCCACTTATCTTCTGCTACAACCTTGGAGATATATTTTGGAGCTATTCACATCCATCTAGTAGCACCTCAATAAAATATATTGGACTTCTCCATATTCAAACAAAGAAAACACAAATAATTATAATTAGAAATATACATTTTTCACCTCCTACATCAAATCCACTAGCACTAGCAGTAAACTACTAATACAGGACACAAATATGAACATTCTCATGAATGATTACCTTTTGATCATGCATAGACTACTGACCGAACAAATTCTACACGTTGCCTGGTATTGAAAATATGTTGACAAGACCTGTGTTTTTTACCTGTCAAAGTCAAATACCAGAAATAATCTACGTCATAATTAAGATTTACAAGTAAAATAATATGCTTAAGCCACCTCAATGCCAACAGTCTGAAATAAAGCTGGAAAGTGTGAGACCTTGTGTTACCAGGTTAATTTGCAAAGATTGACAAGAAATTATAAAATAAAAATAATCAGTACCTAGTTAGGCAAGCTGTGGAATTGACAGCTAAAATATTTAATGCAACAGCAAATCAAACACAATGATCAAGGAACCTCTGCAAGCACAATACCAACTATACTAACAATATAAGAAAACTACAGTAAACGAATGTCATACATGGTAAAAGTATGTAAAGTGCCCAAGAAACCACTTTAATCATAACGACATAAATTAATTGCTATACTTAGTAGTAAGTTATAAAAGTATATAAAACATAACATACCTCATAAGCTCATCTATCGCAGAATATCAAAATCTAGCATGCCTGCAAAGTAACAATATGCATATCATTAATAGAAATGATTGAACTCAAACACACCAAGATATAAACAAACCTGCAGTAGATATAAAAAACTATAATAGGACAATCAGCAATCAACGTAAGTGAATCATATTATGTTGGAATCCAATACCTATACATGATTAACCATAAGAATTTCAATATCGGAATAAAATTTGATAAGTACATAAAGATACAATCAAGACCGGTAAACTCTTCTAATTTTTTAATAAATTCTTGAATCAACATAATCGACAGTAGTAAACCGGAAAAAAATAATAAAAGAACATAAAAAAAATGCATAAATACAATAACAACAAAAAAGACTAAAAGAGAACTTCTAGTTTAAGGTTGGGACATAGTACATGTGCACATGCTAGCTAAGAAGTCTACATAAGTCCTTTATTAAACATCATTGGTTCTTCTAACATCTGTTATCTATCTTCAATGTGTGCCAAGGTGTACACTTCCTATTAGTATCAGAAGGTTGTACACTATGAGATCTGATAGTTGAGAATTGTTGATCTACTGCTATGCTATTCTAAAGCAAGGACAATAGTGAAAAATACATATCAGCACAACCACCACCGGTTCAAAGAGTTATTCGAATTCCAACACATGGAACACTCAAAATCCATATTTATTGATCACATTTCATTCCAAAATCAATAAAATTGGAAAATAATTTTAGGAAAGATTGAACTTTCTTCAATATCATCCACTAGAAAAAATTGAAGTCTGAAAACCATCACGATTAATGGCATATAAGCAAACAATTTCTAAAACATAAACACATCAAATAATCTAGCATATTATAAAAACTACGCAAAATTTTGCAAGGGGCGAAAATCGAGGGGTTTTAGCAGCAGCCCAAATACTCAAGAAATTAGGTTTTTTATCTTACAGAACACTAAACACATAGATACCACATAAAAACCTAATTCATAAATATTAAGCAAAATGAATTTACCTAACCAAAATTAGGGCTATTTCAGATGTAAACACCTTTAACGACGAACAACTGCAGTCGCAACGACTGTGGCTGGTGGGAAATAAGAAGGCGTCCGAATATGGAAATTGGAAATCGACGAACAGTCCCATATAACAGCAATTGGAAATCGGCGACCACATGACGAATCGAGTGAGACAGCAAGATACGAGGACCGAGGCTGGCAAAGGGCTGAAGCGAGATTAGATTGGAAAGGGGTTGAGCAAAAAAATAAGATTGGAAATGGGAGGATAGGGAACTGGAAAAGGGATGAAGACTTGTACGAAGAGTCGAGATAAATTAAATACTTTTAATAAATAAATCATAATAACTAACATAAATTTATTATTAGCAACGGATCGATCGTTAGTTGCTAAAGATGTTGCTACACAATTATTTTAGAAACGGATTTGTCATCTGTCACTAATGGCCATCGCTATACCTGACGTTTCATTAGAAAAGGGACAAATATGTCGTCCATCGCTAATTCTCTCGCAAAGTATCCTTTTTAGAAACAAATCTGCTATCCGTCGCTAACATCCGTAGCT